GGTGTGAAGCGTGGGTGATGAATGTTGCAGCGAGGAGAAGGCTGGAGGCAGTGGAGATGTCATGTCTGAGGGCAATGTGTGGTGTGAATATAATGCAGAGAATTCGTAGTTTGGAAGTTAGGAGGAGGTGCGGGATTACCAAAACTGTTGTCCAGAGGGCTGAGGAAGGGTTGTTGAGGTGGTTCGGACATGTAGAGAGAATGGAGCGAAACAGAATGACTTCAAGAGTGTATCAGTCTGTAGTGGAAGGAAGGCGGGGTAGGGGTCGGCCTAGGAAGGGTTGGAGGGAGGGGGTAAAGGAGGTTTTGTGTGCGAGGGGTTTGGACTTCCAGCAGGCATGCGTGAGCGTGTTTGATAGGAGTGAATGGAGACAAATGGTTTTTAATACTTGACGTGCTGTTGGAGTGTGAGCAAAGTAACATTTATGAAGGGATTCAGGGAAACCGGCAGGCCGGACTTGAGTCCTGGAGATGGGAAGTACAGTGCCTGCACTCTGAAGGAGGGGTGTTAATGTTGCAGTTTAAAAACTGTAGTGTAAAGCACCCTTCTGGCAAGACAGTGATGGAGTGAATGATGGTGAAAGTTTTTCTTTTTCGGGCCACCCTGCCTTGGTGGGAATCGGCCGGTGTGATAATAAAAAAAAAATAAAAAAAATATATATCATCAGAATCGACGCAAAAAAGGAATGTGTTTCAAGAAAGTTTCTTCTGGCATCTTCAGCGTAGTGCCATCAGGAACCCGCCCTCCATGATGTTACACACACTGCCCATAATACGTATCTCCAACTTCAAATATGAAATCAATTGTTCGCAGAAATACCCCCCACCAATGAACTCAGATCAATGGATCACCAAGGGGCCCAGGCTTATTGAGTTGCCTCAAGCCTCAACAACCCTGGGTATTGGAACCACAGAGTCGGATGTAATTACAACTGGATGAGCCTCCAGTCTCCAGAAAGTGCCCCTCCCCCAGCCAACCATCGATGACGTCATAATTTGGCGGTGAGAGATCAAAGCGATCGTCCTTTAGTGATCCTGCAATTATTGAAGGAACGACTCTCAGTGTTCCAACGCCAAGGACTGTACTGTGGAGAGCTACTGTGTTAGCGACTCCATTGCAAGCTAGTGCTCTGAAGAAGCGTATGTAATTACCTTATACTTACTTCAACTTCAAGGGATGGGAAAAAGGTCTAGCTCTTTTCTCCGTACTTTCAATGAGCATGTGTGTGTAGTTATTTAATTCGTCGAATTTTGATGTAAGATGCCATTTGCAATTGTTAACACTATGGTAGAGACTAACTGGACAGTTTTGCTAGCCCTATCTATGGCCTGCCGCTATCTTACTAGTGGAATTCAATGATATGTGAGTGTGTAGTTCTGTGTATGGGCCATACTACAAACAAACGAGGTGTCTCTCTTCCGTACTTGCTCTCGGAATTGGAGTGTTTTATACTAAACGCCTAGGAAGGGTTGCTTACTTGAAAGTGGAGACACGAAGCCGCAGGCAAACTTGGCTTGCACCAGAGCTGTTACCCAAACGACTCGCTGCTGGACAATTGCGTAGGCTTCTAAAAACGGCAGCAAGAAAGGGAAAGAGAGTCCATTGTTTTCTTATGAATAACTATAAAACTCTAACTTCTGATGCTTCTCAGACTGTCTCCCTCCCTCCCTTTCTTTCTCTTTAACTGCTTTTATCTCTCTTTCTCCCTCGCTCTCTTTCTCTCTCTCTGCATTCAGCATCACAGCTCTTGTGTTCTTTTGAAAGGTGGGGGCGCATTGGAAGAGTTTTAGAAGGTGCAACAAACAATGGGAAGGTCGCAGCAGTTGCACATTCTCCGCCTCCTGCTTCACCCTGCAGAAGGAGCTGGTGGGTGCAGGCATCGCTAGATTGCCTCGTTATTGTCCCTCCACTCACAAAGAGAACCTCCCGAACCCTTTTAGCTTTCAAACGGAAGAATATTTCTCGCTTTCTCTATTTGGGTCAATGTCGCTTCCTTTAGTTTGGCAAAGAAAACTGAATTACGTCTCCCTGCCTTTTCTTTACTTGAAGCTTTTCGTCTTTGGCTTCGATGAGTGGCACTGAGCTTCAGTGGCCACATTTATGTTGATGAATGGTTCAGAGAACCGACATGTTGATAAATTAGACACATGTGCAACTCTTGGGTAACTTTATTGAGGAAATGTTTCGCCACACAGCGGCTTCATCAGTCCATACAAAGGAGAATCGTGAAGAACAGGAGAGGAATGAGGTAATCAGTCCCTTAACCTTGAGTCGATGTGGTCAGTCCATCAATCTATTCAAGATTGATGAACTGACCACATCGACTCAAGGTTGAGGGACTGATTACCTCATTCTTCTCCTGTTCTTCACGATTCTCCTTTGTATGGACTGATGAAGCCACCGTGTGGCGAAACATTTCCTCAATAAAGATACCCAAGAGTTGCACATGTGTCGAATTTATCCACATTTATGTTAAACTCTTCATCATTTGTTCTAAGGATGACTGAATCTGAACCTGCGTGACATGAGTTATGAATTACTTCATCGTTGTACGAAAGAATGAGAGAAACTAGTGGAACAAACACTCTTATAGAAGAGCAATATTTTGTTTTGGGAACATTTCACTCACATGTGCTGTTTACAAGTGATGATGTTTTGATAAACCTTCTATATTAGAGCGAATAATAATAATAATTTATGTAAAGCGCTAAATCCATGGGGATCATTCAGCGCATGACGTGGAGGCTTGATCCTCCGTCTGCTGAGCGCCAGACAAACGCGCTTCCTATTTGTACTCACCTAGTTGCAAATATTAGAGCGAAACGATGTCTAAATATAGTCCTGCATTACTTAGAGCGTGTTTGTATTACCATACAAGTCGAATTTTTTGCCTTTGTAACCAATGAATGAGACTAAACACACATGGCCAGTGTTTTTTTTTTTTGCTACAAAAAAAGTGAAGTCTTCTGTCTCTTATCTCTCTTTTTATTTTAAATCTTACGGACATACACAAAAAATTGTTTCTTACAATAATCCGCGAGTGTTCACTTCAGACAATGAAAAAGATTGTCTAAATTATCGATGAGACTGAGATGAATGTTCATTTTTTTTATCATACAAGCCATCTCCCACTGAGGAAGGGTAACTCGAAGAAAATAAGCAACAGTTTCACAGTCAAACATTCAATCACTGCCTTGCCAGAGGCGTGCTGACATCACAGCTCAGATGGCTCCCCGAAATACAACATCCTCATCCTCCCCATCAGAGTGCAGCCACTGATATTAAATCGAATCTGTCACTATTGCTGTTAGAAGATGGCGATGATACCGAAAGACTTGGAAGAACAGTTGCTGAGGTTGGTACATTTTTTGAAGAGTACGTCAAAGAAGTTAAAAGTGGTGAAAAAGAGAGATAAGTTTAATATGACTAAGATTAACGTATACAAATGGAAGTCAGGAAAAAACAAGGGAAATACAAATAGTGGAAACCAGAGTCGGCTCGAGAATTATGACACATAATTTGTTATTTGCATTAATGAATCAGCTTCTCAAATAATATTATGGTTACGATTCCTAATACGCTGGAAAATGCTGAACTGTCTTGAGCAAATCTAACAGATTTCTCATGTCCAGTTAGTTACTGTAGTGATTACATTTTTACCTGAATAGCCAGAGGAATTCTTAGCACAATGAATCTGTCTTCATGAGCGCATACATATATATATATATATATATATATATATATATATATATAATATATATATATATATATATATATATAATATATATATATATATATATATATATGTATATATATATATATATATGTATATATATATATATATATATATATATATATATATATATATATATATATATATATATATATATATATATATATTATATATAATATACATATATATATATATATATATATATATATATATATATATATATATATATATATATATATATATATATATGATATTATTATAAAAATATGCGGCGTATTAGAGGCAGACGCGCTTCAAAAGCATTCCTCGAAGTCTATACATTTGGAAAATTTATCTACCGTGCATGGTAAGTTTACCATCTCAGTGGCGTCAGGATTTCCCGGTTATGCCCATCAAGGTAGAAGTCGTTAGTAATTCCTATGAAAAATTTACTCTCTTTTCCTTAGAAGATGAGTTATTAATTATTTTCGAGATTATATTTCTCAATTTGAACAAGATTGAAATTCCAGACCCCAGAGTTATTTCCATCCTACCAGGAGCCCTGATTTTCCTTTCTCGCATGACGACTTTAATTTGCTGCCAATTTCGAAGCTGGAACCCACTAAATAGACCAATTCCGTTACCTAATTGGTCGACGGGAAGGCCGTTGCTTCCTGTGATTGCAGTTACTACTGCTCTAGCACATTAATTGAATTCCATTTGTGAGATTTTTCTGTGTGTGTGTATATATAAATATACTTAGACATCAAAATTTAACAATATTTGTTTTCCTACACATTTTTCAGCGTCAGTTTCGGAACGTTCACTGTTTTCAGATATTTATTTTATTTTATTTTATGTTAGGATCCGTACAGCTAGGATACGTTACATAAACCTGTAAGAACATATATTTAACGACTAATAACTGAATTTAAAGGACGAGCACAACACAAATTTATACAATCTTAATTTCTTCTTTATGTACGATTTTCTGTATCATCCATTACCATTTTCATATATTTATTTATTCTTTCTGATTAGTTATTTATAGAGAATACATCATAGTGAGGAACACTGATCCTCGTTGGATCCCATTAGTTACATCATCTGGTAGAGCACTTACCCTTGTGGAACCCCAATAGTGACATCGTCGAGCTTCTTTAAAAAATAAAAAAACTGTCTTTGCTTTACATAGTCTAAACATGTTTAAACTCACTCATATAGTTTGTAGATCATATAATTTTGTTAATGGACGCACAGTCCCTCCAACAGATCAACAAGTACTTACTAATGACGGTGAAGTTGACGATAGTGTTCTTGGTCGGAGATAAGAGGAAGTCGACTCTGCACCGGTAGGTGGCCTCATCTCGGTCCTGGACGGGGAACAACTCTAGGTGGGCTCCAGGAGCCGAGGAACCACCCCAAGAACTGCCTGGAAGAAGCTGAAAGTACGCACGGCGGGCCAACAGGCGCTCGTCCGCCCAGTGCTTCCCGTTTTCTATCGTGCTTCCTCTGGCGTCGAAACTGAAAGAGACAAATATCCCAAATTATTTGAGAATTGGGTAATGTTTTGTTAAACTTTGGGTTTTACACAGATTTTACCCTGTTTTTTTTCACTTAGATTTAATCCTCGGCTGCTTAAAACATCTACCTTGTGATCTGAATTTAGCAATAAACTAATGAATGAGAGGCAACCAGGATTGATCCTATGACAAGAAGAGAGACTCCATTTCCTTGTATCAAGAGTCGTTCACCAACATCAGCGTCCTGTACAGATTCGCCTAATAATATTACCATACTATAAACCTTTATTTATTTCCTGTTCACACTAGTGTATTAATGTTAGACTAAACTGTATATACGAGTGTTGTGGGCTATACACAGTGCTCTACTATCTATCAAATACATTGTTACGCCAGTGACAGACAGGGCGACGACAGAGTGGTACTATGTTAATCAGTGGCTTGGAGGGCCGTCACACCGAGCACTCCAGTGATAAGTTGACGGAGAGCATGGACATGTGTGATTGGCTGTCTCTAGCAGGCTAGAGTTATGGAAGCGACCGAACATTCCAGGAAAGAAGTTCTGAGACAGAGTTTGAAACTATATGTACATTTAGTTGAGTTTTTTGATGTATGTCATGATGTTACATTGCTATGAATTTTTGTGTTTCAGCGAGTCGGTATTTTTAGTGTCTTAGAGCCTTCTCTTTCGTCACTGTTCCTGTTACCGTTTTACCTTGAATCTACTATACCTCGCATGCAAACACACATACACACGCACACACACTGATTGCGACCAGCAAAAAGGCGGGGCCAGGAGCTTTGAATTGACCCTTGCAACCACAAATAGGTGAGAACACACACACACATGCGCGCACACACACACACACACACACACACACACACACACACACACACACACACACACACACACACACACACACACACACACCATTCCAGGAGCGTGAGCCTTCTATCCTTCGCATATATGCACATGAGCCACCCAAGGTTCTTTGATTGCCATCCCTTGCATATACTTGTACACACACACACACACACCATTCCTGATACTGGAGCCACCGTCTACTAACCCAAATGCGTAGCAATGTTCGTTCCTATTGCTTGATCAAATATTCGTTTTCATTTATAATTTCAAGTTGTACCTAACAATGAAACTCCCAGTAAATATATTTAAATATCTATTCATCTATCTATCTATCTATATATACACATATATACATATATATATTATATATATATATATATATATATATATATATATATATATATATATATATTTATATATATATATATATATATATATATGCAAAGCAACCACTCTGAAAGAATAGAGAAATTCCAAGCGCTTTCGTGACTACTCACATTATCAAGGATAATGTGAGTAGTCACGAAAGCGCTTGGAATTTCTCTATTCTTTCAGAGTGGTTGTTTTTGCATATTTTGAAATCACCTGTTTACTGTGATCTTATTGCATATATTATATATATATTATATATATATATATATATATATATATATATATATATATATATTATATATATATATATATATATATATATATATACGTATATATATATGTGTATATATATATATATATATATATATATATATATATATATATATATATATATATATAAATATATATTTATATATATATATATATATATATTATATATATATATATAAATACACACACATTTGTGTAGTTTAGCAATGCATGATGCAATATTGATTTTTATTCGCTTCTGTATACTCAAATGCTGGTAGGGTAACTTGTGTGTGTTTTTTTTAAGTTACTAAAAGTCTCGTACATACTTACAATTGTTGCCTAATTTCTCGCTTGTACTGCTGTTTGTGAGTTAATGTTTTACTCGGCATATTTTTTAATTATCAAGTTCTCGCAGTGTGAGGTAAATTCCATCCATTATTCCACTGAAGGGACGAAAATGAAACATTTCAGGGAATCGATTGTTTTTTAATCCATTGATAAAAACTAGAACACTTTTAGGCCTTTGAAAACAAGTATTTACTAATGTGTATTGAAACTAACATCAACAACATCCTGTTGTGTCAAGTCTAATTAGTTGAGTGTCAAATGAGCTTAACGCACAAGATCATCACTAGAATGGAGTTCAGCTAAACATTGCTCAAGCTTAGGTGGTAATCCCTAGAATATACTTCATGCATCATTCCTAGTGTTTGATCCAACTATATCTTACATATTCACACACGAACAGGACTATATACAGTTGAAAAGCAGAAATCATTGATTCATAAACAGCTGAAGCAGAGATTGGTAGCCCGGTGGCCTGGTGGCTAAAGCTCCCACTTCACACACGGAGGGCCCGGGTTCGATTCCCGGCGGGTGTTAGTCGACTGGTGTGGGTCGCATCCTGGGGGACAAGATTAAGGACCCCAATGGAAATAAGTTAGACAGTCCTCGATGACGCACTGACTTTCTTAGGTTATCCTGGGTGGCTAACCTCCGGGGTTAAAAATCCGAACGAAATCTTATCTTATCTTATCTCTTACAGTGACAATTGGTTATTGCAGGACCTTGAACAGAGACTTCCTGTTGTAGCTGCAGTGACGAGTAATTATTTAAGTGGCAGTGACAGTGTTATTAATACTGTTATCTCAATAACAACACACAGGGTAAGTGAACTGGGATGTAGGATGTCTGTACATAGAAACAATAAAATTTATTTCTTTTCCGGCTTTCATTGACCTGAGTTTGTAAACGTCATTCGGACGCACTTTTCAAGGAGAAATGGCAGATGAGTTATTTTATTGATTTATACAACGATTGAATAGGATGATAAATAGGATGAACATTTCAAACGCAATTTCATGGCTAATACTAAACCAATAATACCAATATGCAAAAGCCTAAAATACTCCATAATGGTTAATCTGATAAATAAAATAAATTATTTAACATGTAAATCTTCCATTGTGCGAAACAGTAATCATATTATAGTATTACATTTTCGAGTGCCTGTAACAAACGTATACACTAAATATTAAATGATATTTCAGGTTTTAAATTTACTATGGACATATTTAGCCAGTTATTCCAGAGAACTCATGAGTGGTCATCAGCCAGAATTTTGGATTTTTTATATAACAACTTCAAGTATCAAATGCACACACCACAACCCAGATTAAAAGATAATACCAGCGAGAGAACACAATTGCACCTCTTTGATAATTTAAAAGTTTTAAGGCGAAGTTAATTGATACTTTCGATTATTAATGCAAAATATTTAATGTGCACGGCTGATTCTATTTTTTTTTTTTTTGTAATCGGTGATTATTCAATTGATAGTGTATCTCTATCTTGATTAGGGGATAGAGATCGAGTTTGTGCGAGTCTGTCACTAAATGGTGTGTTTTGAGTCACTAAAATTAATTCTGGTGTCGTAGTGTTGATGGCGTGTGACAGCATAGAAACATGCAGCAGAGGAGTGAACAAGTGAAAAATATAAATGACCAGTAAAGAATAAGTCGGAGACCTCCAAAATTATGAGGGAATACTTATCCATTTTTCCATTTATTTTACACAAATCAATTTCACAAGCTGTGAGGAGTTATCCTGTCTCAACTTATTTCATAACCCAGCCCAATCTCAGATGTACTAATTCCCCCCCTTCCCCGGATGCGACCAACAACGGTCGACTAGCACCCAGGTACCTACTTACTGCTAGGGAAACATGGACAAGGAGACATCCCCCAACGTTTCCATTCATGCTGGGAATCGAACAACGGACACTTGAATTAAATATGATGTTTAACCTACAACTGCTTCACAACAGACTCCATCATTACTGGAGTAAATATTTTTAGTGTCATCTCTTTCACTTATTAATGTCGTCACTGTTTCTATTGCCTTGTTTATCCGAGGAAAAACACGAGTCTCGCAACAATAGTCAATATTCATTATTTCTTGTACAGCGGTGCGTTGGTAGCTAAGGGAAACTTTTTCACGCGTCTGCTAACGAGCCACAACCGGTATCGCTTCTGGGTTTCATCTTTTGTCAGCGCGAAGTTACAGAGCTGGACAAGAGCGCCGCGTAGTTCGTTGATGATCATGAGAAGTCTTGCCTTAGACTTGAGTGACTAACCAAAAATTTGAACAAATGTTCATTATTCTCTTTCACTACCTTGAACTTGTTGACTTGATGATGCATTGGCCTGATGTTTTAAATACATTACAGAAGCTACCTTCTCGTGGTGTACTTAGAATAGAAGTTTTTGACCACATAATTAACAAATCTCGTCCCTAGTCAGTAGTGTGGCATACGAATTCGCCCCTGGTAAATTCGTATACCACAGAGCCACAGAACCAAAGAGCTCTCTGTGGCTACAAGAAGTAATCAGCTTATCATACTACGCGGGATAGTTAAATAATATCTCGCTTGAAATTTATTTATAATAGACGTCACCAGAAATAAGTGGCAATTTCACGGCAGAGATTACTTTCTCTTATGCAGCAACTTGAGTGAGTATTGACCATATATTATACTACGTAGGCGCCGATACTACAGAATTCGAATTAATTTTTAGGTAATTCTAATCAATATCTTTTAAAATGTATTTCCCTTAAAAACAATTACTATATTAAAAAAAAAAAGAAATTTCGTTGTGCTGCCAACCTACCAACTGGTGAATGTATAATCTGCATTCTACATAAATGTAATTTGCATATACTATATATGAAGCACATTCTACAAGGATAAATTCTTTTTCTTTTCCACCTCAGGTGTACGATCATATGTCATAAAACGTAGCAGAAGGTAGACATCTTTAAACCTGTTCTGATTCGTCAGACTTTTGCAGAAATATTTTCAGATATTTTTATTTACATACAGTCAAATTCCACCATAATTTACACAAGCATGCATACTCACAAATGTACAATATATATATATATATATATATATATATATATATATATATATATATATATATATATATATATATTATATATATATATATATA